CTTCCTCCCTGAAATCAATAAAAGTATATTAAAAAATAAATAAATACTGAGTAGTAAATAAATAAATAAAATAAAAACATTTTTAAAAGATGAAGTAGAAACTTAGACAATCTATTCAAAAGTTGGTTTTAGGAAAACTGGATAGGATATCCATATGCAAAAGAAGGAAATTGAACTCTGACCTTACACTATATACAAAATTGACTCAAAATGGATTAAAGATGTAAACATAAGACCTAAAACTGTAAAATGCTTAGAAGAAAACATGGAAAATCTTCATGGTGTTGGTTTTGGTAATGATTTCTTGCATATGACATCAAAATTATAGGCACGAAAAGAAAAAAGATAAATTGAATGCCATCAGAATTAAAGTTTTTGTGCATTAAAAGATACTATCAAGATTATGGGGAAAAAAACACAATCCAGAGACTGGGAGAAAATATTTTCAAACAATATATGATAAGGGGTTAGTTTCCAGAATATATAAAGAATTCCTATAAGTCAATGACAGCAAAAATAATAACAATAATAAAATAATAAATCAGCCAATTCAATTTAAAAAATGGGCAAAGGACCTGAATGGACATTTCTCCAAAGAACATATACACATGGTCAATTATCACATGAAGAGATGCTCAACATCACTAGCTATTATGAAAATGCAAATCAAAACCATAATAGTAATGATGGCTATATGAGTGTTCTGTGTAAGCTACTTTGAGAAGAGTGTTATTTCAGGGAATGAATGTGATTGCTCTTCTGTAATGTTTTAGGGATTTGTTTAAAATACATATAATACATACTAGAGGCCTGGTGCATGAAATTTGTGCACGGGTAAGGTCCCTAGGCTTGGCCAGCAATCAGAGTTGATCGGGGCCTTCTGGCTGCCAGCCAGGGTCTCCCTTCCCCAGCTGCTGACTGCTGGCCAGGGCCTTCCTTCATTCCACGCTGCCCCCTGGTGGTCAGTGCATGTCATAGCGAGTGATCGAACTCCCAGGCTCCCGGTCGAACTCCCAAGGGAACAAATTGCAAATTAGGCTTTTATGTATATAGATAATAAAGATAGATATGAATGCTTAAAAAACACAATAGCTACCCATTAGGATAGCTATTTTTATTTTTCAGTGGAAAATAGTAAGTGTTGGTGAGGATGTAGAGAAACTGAAATTGTATGCATTGTTAGTGGGATGTAAAATGGTGCAGCCACTATGGAAAATGGTTTTGTGGTTCCTCAAAAAGTTCAACAGATTTACCATATGATCCAACAATTCCACTTCTGCATATATACCTCAAACAATTGCAAGCAAGGACTCAAATACTTGTTCACCAATGTTCATAGCATTATTCATAATATCCAAAAGATGGAAATATCCCAAATGTCCATTGACAGAAGAATGGATAAACAAAATGTGGTATTCTATATAATAAAAGCCCAGCAACCATAACGGTGTAACGACCAGAATAACTGCTCAACCAGTCGCTATGAGGTGCATTGACCACATCTCCGATCAAAGGATGGCGAACAGGGAACCAGGATGGGTGGCGGCGGGGTGGGACTGGGGACTGGTGAGCCGGCAGAAGATGGCCCTGATCGCAGGCTAGGCCTAGGGACCCAACCTGCACATAATTTCATGCACTGGGCCTCTAGTATCCATATAATGGAATGTTATTCAGCCTTTAAAAGAAATGAAATTCTGATAATGCTACAACATGGGTGAACCTTGAAAACATTATGCTAAGTGAAGAAGCCAGATACAAAAGGACAAACATTGTATAATTCTGCTTTATACGAGGTATCTAGAATAGGCAAATTCATAGACAGAAAGCAAAATAGAAGTTTCCAGGGGCTGTGGGGAGTGGGGAATGGAGAATAACTGCAAATGTAATTATATAGGGGAGGTCTGAGAATGTAGACATAGACACAGAGTCAAATAAGACTGGACTTAAATTAAGTCCATTTACTATATGTGTGACATGGGTCAGTTAATTAACTTTTTAAAATCTCAGTTTACTCATCTAAAATAACAACCCCAGTATCATAGTCAAACCAAACTCACAGAGCAATTATGAGGGTTAAATAATATAATACATATTGAGTACTTAGCAAAGAGTAGAGTGCCTAATAAGCATTCAATGAATGTTAGCTATTTTAACTTTTGATAAGTTTCTGGAATATAATGCAATAAATTTCTGTTGGAATACATGTAAGTACATATTTGCTATAATGATGAAACTGGTTGAAGCTTAGTTGGGGGAGGGGAGGAGGGTTTTGGAGGAGATGGGTCCAGAAGAACTTATCAGAAAGACAGCAACAGGACAGAACAGAACCTAGAAATATATTCTGTATATATTTGACAACACGATAGTATGTATATGACAGGTTATTTATATGTCGGTGTTACTTCTGGGATCAGTTCTCCCCTACCAAGAGAAATCATAATTCACGACTTTTCTCTTTTGCACTTTTTATTCCCTTCTTCCTTAAAAAGGGGTGGGAAATCTGGCAGTAGGGGAAAATTACATAATGTGTATGCCTGTATTTTAAGTTTTACCTTCTTCCATGAAACTGTTACCATATTTTAAGCATTTAATAGATGTGTGACATGGGTCAGTTAATTAACTCTTACCATATCTTTTTTTAATTTTTTATTGATTAAGTTATTACATATGTGTCCTTATCCCCACGTTACACCCCCACTCATGCCCTCACCCCCCTGGTGTCTGTGTCCATTGGTTAGGTCTATATGCTTGCATATAAGTCCTTTGGTTGATCTCTTCCCCCTTACCCCCACCCTCCCTTACCTTTCCTCCGAGGCCCGACGGTCTGATAAATGCCTCTCCGTCTCTCGATCTGTCCTTGTTCATCAGTCTATGTTGTTCATTATATTCCACAAATGAGCGAGATCGTGTGGTATTTATCCTTCTCTGACTGGCTTATTTCACTTAGCATAATTTGGAAACAGCCTAAGTGCCCATCAACAGATTAATGGATTAGAAAACTGTGGTACATCTACACAATGGAATACTCTGCTGCTGTAAAAAAGAAGGAATTCTTACCATTTGCCACAGCATGGATGGAACTCTTACCATATTTTTAATTATTTAACTCTTACCATATTTTAATGAACTCTTACTATATTTTAATTATCTCTTACCATATTTTAAGCATTTACTAGATTGTGACACGGGTCAGTTAACTAACTTTTTAAAAAAATCATGCTTGGCACATTAGATTCTTAACATTTGTCAGGTGATTGAATTATAAGTGAGCTATGCTCCCCACCTCCACCCACAGGGATGCCCCCTGTGACAATTTTGCAAGAGCTCTATTTTTTTTATTGTCTAAAGATTTACATATTAGAGTTCTATTTTTAAATTATCTAATATTTATATTGAATCCACTTTTTAAAAGGTTTTGAAGCAGCTTTCAGTGTTACTTATCACACAAAATAAAAATTAGGGAATTTGGAGAGACTGTTTAAGATAAAAAGAAATATCAACATATGCCAATAAGGTTCACAGTTTTTAGAGGTGTGTTGCAAAATGGGTTCTGAGCATCATAGCAGCCATCACAAGGAAAGTTAATTACTCAATTCACATTGCCCATATGATTCAAAACACACAATCACTCAACTATCTCAGTGACCAAAAATATAATTATTTTCCTTTGAGTTATTACATAAAAATTGTATTTTGATGTAATATATGCCTTCACGAATATTATACAGTAAATGAAAGCCAAATTTCATGGTATATTTTGTATTATAACCATTGATGTAGTAGCCTCAAGGCCAGGTGGATGAATTCTAATAAGGACCAAAAGCAATTTTATCCAGGTTTGAAGCTCTGGTAATTTAGTTTCACTAAATGAAAAAAATCACTTATTCAAAAGAAATGATTGCACAATAATTAGTGTTCCAAAAATATTATAATTTAGTTTGGATAAGTGTTAGGCAGTAGAGACTTCGTGACTATAATCTCTAACAGGAACCCACAATAGCTCTAATATTATCCCTATGCCTTTAAGGAGGATGCCTTTGACATCATGTTAGGAAAGTACTAGAACGGTTCAAGTCACATGACTGAGCAGGGAGCCATTTTAGTACCTCAAGTAGACAGACCATGGAGTACCCTGAGGGACAGTTCTCCCAACTGTCGGAACGTAATTCAAAACTAAAAACGTTAATATCAGAAACTATAAGTTTCCAAGAGCCCAAAATTGTTGTCGACTCGGGAACTAAAACTGCCAGTGACTACAGAACCCAAATTGCGGGTGAGCAAAGCACCTCAACTCTTGTCGGCCATGGCGCCCAAACTGATGCCTACGTCGGCACCCAAGGTGATGCCCAGGCCGCTGCCAGACCTCCTCTGGAAAACTTAACGGGAAGGCAAGGTAAGTGGTTTACGTTCCAGCCCCGCCAAAAAAAAAAAAAATATTAAGGATATTTTTGGGAGTTTATTTGAACTGTGCGACCCCCTTGAGGAGAAATTGGTGTAACTTGTGTTCCTGTCCAAAGATGTAAAATAATGACTCTGTGGAGGAGACGGGACGGCTAATATGTTACATAGTTTGGGCGGGATTCTAATTATTTCATGGGTTTGCGTAGTGGCATATTTGTCATCCGGCGAGCAGCAACCAAATGTGCCACCCTTTTTACAAATATCGCTGTGCACTGGTAAAAGTCCTGTGGCCACTCTGAAGGTTGCCCCGTGCCAAGAGAATTTGTTCTGAAGCCTTGTTCCTCGAGACCCCAGAGCGGCCTGAGCCTCTTGAGACTTTTCCCCCAACCCCACCCTCACCCCCACCCGGCACGCGACGATCTGGCTGCCGCCTCGAGGCCACTTGTCTGTCAGCTCCAGCAGGCGGCAGCGGAGGCGTGGCTAGTGGGGAGGGGCTGTGCACTCTGCTGCTACCTGTGGCTACACAATCCACCCGCCGCCTGCCGTCGGATTCCATGGCTTGCTTCCCTGTAGCCTACTCACGCCCCCTTCAGAACCACCAGGGCAGAGAAGGGTGTCTTCCCCGCTCGGCCTTTCGGGTGCCATTGCGAGTCAGAGGAGGAGCAGGTGAGTTGGTCAGGCGGAGGGTTCTGGGGCTGGTTAGTGCTGTGTGTCAGCGCACGGTGCTTCCCTCCCTGCTAGCCTAGACGGCGAGGCTCGAAGGCCGGAACCTTCAAGTCTATGAGCTGGGCTCTTCCCTTGGAAGCTTAGTGCCCCTGGAATAAGGATGGAGGGTCATTGCCTCCAAACTGCAGCCCGCGGCTATGAACTTGAGAAAATGCGAATTTTGGCTGATGCTGACTTAGGCTGCCTGGAGCATGTTGTCTGGTGCCTTCCACCTAGCTATAATCCTAATTCCAAATCTAATTTCACTGAAGCTAGATGGAGCTTGGGGGTAATGAATGGTGGAGAGAGGTCCCATTAATTTAATTATGTATCAAAGAATGCTTGCCAGAAAAAGTGGATGCCTTTTCTTAAATACGAAACAACCAGTTCATTTGGTTAAATGCAGGTAACAAATTTTAAAACATATTAAAAACTCATTTCAACCCTATTTTCCCACCTTCACTGAAAGTTTTCCTTTTTACATTCTTTCTTTCACAAAATAAAGGCATTGAAATGAACAAAATGTCCTACTCTTAGTTCTGCTGAGAACTCTAAAAGTTACTACTGATCTGATAAAATCTTGCTTAGCAGCCAGTTCTTCAAATAGCTGTATTTCTGCTCCCAATCTTAAGTGTTGGTTACTTTTTATTCTGTTATGCAATGTTCTCAGCCCCAAGATTTTTAATTTAATTTGCTATATTTTAATTAACACCCCCTGTGTATAACTGTATGAAGCAGGGAGAAAAAAATGATTATCACAAATAAGCAATGTCTCTCTTTCCCCGTCCTTTTCTCTCTCTCATCCTGGCTGCCTGCTTTTCCACTGCTGGCTTCTCTTGTGCTTTCTATGCATTTCTGATAGTTTCTGAAGTAATATTAAAGGGTTGGAATTATAACTGGTGAATGATTTCACCATAATAAGGTCTCAGACTAACTTGTATGTGATTTTTTTAAAAAAGGTTCCAGTGCTTTTAAATGATATTCAAGTTCAAAACTCAGAGCCCAGATAATGGTTTACAGAGTATTAGGAGCTGTACATTAATCAATGGTATAAGATTTTATAACTTGGTATATTGTATAATGTTCTTAGAACCTAATAAAACTTTGTCAGGTTTCATATATGTACATTGTTTTCTTTCCACTTTTGAGAAAAGTTTCCTCAGAAAAAGTGAGAGCCCTAAAACCCCAAATGCAAACTACTTAAGATCTATCAAAAATAGATGGAAAATAAAATGAAAAAATAAAGATTAACTTAGGATTATTCACTTTACAGAAGGTGTACTTTTAAATATAAATGGATCTGTCTTAGGATTCCTTTAAATAACTTTTAGGGGTGTTTCAAATAACTGGTGGTTGTGAGGCGTATACGAAATAATAGACCTAACACACTCAATTTAGTGCCTACACACAGAATGCACGCAGTAAAGGCTAGCAATGAATAAATCAAATTGGATTTTACAGTCTTTCATATTACCTTTCAGGAATGTCTATTCAATGAAGTTAGTTGTACTCATATAGATAGCCGTAAGAACTGGACTTTTTGAAAGGTAGATCTGAGCTATTTATGCTGGCTCTAGTCTAGAGTCATAAAAGCTACTGGCTCTCCTATGGGCTTAATTCCTACCAATCAATTATAGTGAATAAAATATTGAAAATTTAGCTTTTGTTTCTTTCTAATAATCATAGAAACTTTCTGCCAGTGGTTTGGGGGTTGGTTTCCGACTTTGGTTGGCACCCTCCCTGCAGAGGAATGTAGTTTGTTTCACATACCTTTCACTTACCCCCTTCACTTACAATTGGTGAAATTGTGGTCCTTTATCTGAGAGTCTAAAATTATCATTAAAAATACCAAATCATGTTTTATAACAGCTCTTATTTTATTTGTTATGCTATTTGGATTGATTTTTGAAAATCTTCAAGTATTGTAGGGAAGATAAAGAACTTTTAAAAAATAATAAAGTTATTTCAAATAAGGTATTTCAGAACTGTACACACACATCATTCCAGTGAGGATTATGGGCCGGGCCTTGTATAATTTAACCAGTACTACCAGAAGTGATCAGCAGAGGGAACAAGAGGAGTTTTTGGTGACTTTCTGTTGGTTTTGTTTTTGTTTTCATGAACTCAAAAACCAGAGATGAGTAAACACCAGCATGAACCTCCTTATGAAATTGAGAACCAGTTTATATGGCGTCTGCCTCCGGTAAGAAACCCTTGTATTTCAGAGCAAATATCTTCAGTGCATAAGTATTAGCTCTGCTTGGATTCTGTACCATTTCTATTTAAGGTAGGCTATAAAAACTGAGAACATTTGTTTCCCAGGAATCATGTTCTATTAAGCAGTCCTATCCCAGTGTGTACTCTTTTAGCAGCATTTTTTTTGTCCTGCACATACCACCTATCATGTGGGTTGATTTCCTGGCAAACAATTGTGACAATGATGGATTCAGTATCAACAGCTTGCTCATTGGACAGCCAAGATAAAACTCTACTGAAATCCTTTCTGTCACCTCAAAAGGGTTAGTGAGAAGGACCATGTTCTTCAAATTGATCACCATGCAAGGCTGTTGAAGCTCCTGTCAACAATGTGTTAGGTTTCCCCCCACCCACCCATTGAGACCTATATTCAAGTATTATTTAGTCTACAAAACTATATTAAGATGGGCTTCAGAAAGTTATTTCCCCCATTAGGGTTAATTAATGTACTCAGTAAACTGCAGCTAAACCTTTCTTTAGCAACAATAACTGAAGGGCAGCAGTGAGAGGCAGGAATATAGAACTAGGAGAAGGCATTGACTGTAGCTACTAAAAGTCAACAATGATATTAGAGTTCACCTCATCCTAAATTGACCTGCACAATGCATGGTATCTCATGGTACATGGCATTGTTCCTAATGTTTGGGAGGTTTAACGGTTTTTTAAAGAAGGACTGTCTCTGACATATCTGTTCTATTAACTGCCAAGTAGACAATCTTTCTAATTTGTCAATTTATCTCCTTTTTAGGAACATGCTGCTACTGTCAGAGAAATTATACGATCCGGAAGTGTCGCCATGAAAGATAAACTAAAAATTGACTTGTCTTGTAAGTAGTTAATATCCATTCACCATACATTGAACAGTAACTTATTAAGGGATTGCTCTGTGCCAGGTGCTCTATTCCATACTAAGGATTTGAAAAGAATAGAATGCGTTCTCTGTCTTGATGGACCCTAAAAGAGGCTTAAATCACTCCTATCTCTTCTTTTAAGAGGAAAAGAAGTAGATATTATGCAACTTGAGGTAATTATCAAAATGTGTATAAGAAAGAACTTAAGGGTCAACTGTGGGATTTGCCTACTGCTGATTGTCTCCTACATACAAGCTTTGGGATTTCTGACTATGACAAATGAATGTACTGTTCTTTGTTTACAAAGGTGACACACCTTTCTCTCTTTTAAACAACATTTATTAGGTTTTATAAATATAGAGAAGCAGAACCTATGCCCTGAAAATCTGTGTGTATGTGTGTATGTGCATTTAAACTGTGATTGCCACTTTGACTTTAATTCTAGCTGGATCACCCATTGCAAATCAAAAGCTGCAGAGGGTTTGTTTTTTTAAATTATAGAATGTCCTTTGTTCAGCGAATTTTACATGACAATACATGTATTTATTTAATAAAACTTTTATGTTAAAAAGAAAATAAATACAGATAAGTATATAAAGAAGGAAATATAAAATGGCCCATAAACCCACCACTCTAGTAGCTCTATTGACATTTTTAGAAAGGGCAATACAAGTTTATGGCTAGGAAATTCAAATAAAACAAAAAAGTTCAAAAGGAGGAGCGAAACTCTCTTTCATAGTGCCCCAAAGTCAGTGCCAAAAATAACTAATACTAACCATTTCTCCTTGTATTTCCTTACAGACAAAACTTTTATGCATAATATAATCATTTAAATAATCTGTTTTTAAAGTTAATTTACACAAAAAGGATCATGTGAAATATAGTTCTGCATCTTTTTTTTCACTTACCATTAGAAGATTACACTTGAATCCTCAAAAGATATCCATATTTGAGACATCTGGGCAGGATTCAGAGTTGTCAGTGTATAATGTATATCCTATATAATCCTATGTAATAAAAGGCTAATATGCAAATAGACCGAATAGTGGAACTACTGGTCACTATGACACGCATTGACCACCAGGGAGCAGATGCTTAATTGCAGGAGCTGTCCCCTGGTGGTCAGTGTGCTCTTACAGGGGGAGTGCCACTCGGCCAGAAGCTAGGCTCATGGCTGGGGAGCACAGTTGTGGTGGCGGGAGCCTCTCCTGCCTCCGCGGCAGCACTAAGGAACCTTCGGGGGGATGTCCGCCTGCCAGCTTAGGAGGGAGAGGGCCTAAGCCAGCAGGCAAACATTCCCCTGAGGGGTCCTGGACTGCGAGAGGGTACAAGCTGGGCTGAGGCCTCCCCCCTCCCATAGTGCACCAATGTCATACACTGGGCCTGTAGTATATTAATAATATACTTTTATTTCAAAAAGTTTTTAATCCTCACCTGAGGATATTTTTATTGATTGTAGAGAGAGGAAGGTGGGGGAGAGAGAGAGAAATATTGATGTAAGAGAGAAACATCGATCAGTTACCTTCCATACTCGCCCAGACATGGAATCGAATCAGCAACATTTTGGTGTATGGGACAATGTTCCAATCAACTGGGCCACCTGGCCAGGGCTACATATTTTTTTTCAGTGTTTGGCGATTGTATAAAATTTTATATTTGTGAAGCTAACTAGAGGTTATACATTGAGACTTACTAGCAAGATTCTAGGATCAACCCTTCCCTCACCCAACCCTTTGAAAACACCCATGCATAATGACATGATTGAATACTTCTTATGGTATCAAAATGAATGGCTTTGAATGAACAGAATTTGCCTTTTACTACTTTGTTCACATTTGTTCACAACTATTACTAAGAAAATTCTATACTTTTGATCAAGTGACACAAACTGGGGGAAAATGTATTCCATTTACTCTGCCTTCTTTCCTTTGGGGAGTTACTGAGTGCATGTACAATCCTATATAATAAAAGGCTAATATGCAAATAGACTGAACGGTGGAACAACCGAACAACCAAACAACAGGTCGTTATGACGTGCACTGACCACCAGGGGGCACGCATGGAACATGGCGGACAGGCGTTGGCAGCAGGCGGCAGAGCACAGAACATGGCAAATGTTGGCCATGGTAGGATGGTGGAGCAGGTGAGCAAAGGTGCCAGATCAAGGTGGGGCACCAGTTGATGTCATTGGGGTGAGCCTCTTGTGGTTATTGAAAATTCTTTCTCCCGCATGCCACGGTCTGCCAGGGTCCAGCCCCAGCGGGCCAGGGGTTCCCAAAGGTGTGGACGGAGTCGGCAAAGAATGATTTACATGGAGACAACGTTCAGATGATCAGCATAGCTCTCTTTAGTCTCCATGTATCTTCCTGTGCCTGGCTGAGGCCACAGAGAAAGATCCAGAGGCAAACTGAGCCTTTATTTTATAGTCAGAGGTAAACAAGGTAGTGGTTACCATAGTTACACTGTTCTTGTGAGTTTC